AATTCCGACGGCAGGAGGCCCCCGACATGGAATCCGCACACTCCCGGGCGGAGTGGGCTGTCGAGCCCCTGCCGGCGATGAGTGGGCGATTGGGGGTCCATGCATCCCTCCCTGAGCCTGCAGTCGGACTCGACTGGGCAGGACACGCGAGAGGACACAAGACCCTTCCGAGGGCCACATTGCCACAGGAAGGTAGGAAGCGTGGGTCGCGAGACACAGGACACAAGGGTACCCTTGATCGTGCAGGGTCGACCTACTAATCTGGGCCGACTGTATCCCCCCTTGACGTTGCACCCGAGGGCCCCTCCAGGGGTGCGCTCTGACCAGAAATCTCGGTGCGAATCCAGCCATGGCGACCAGGGCCTCCCAGGAGGCCCAGAGAGGCGAAAACGATGCAAAAGCCGCGCTAGCGGTACACTTTTCCTCCTCCGACATCAACCCTTGTCAAGACGGTGGACGTCTGGGTGTGCATCGAGGAAGAAGAAACGGCACAAATATAAACTGTCGGAGATCCGCGAAGATTTCTTGTATCGGCGCTGGATCCCCCTCCCCTGGCGCGCGGGACGCGTCAGGGGCGGCGCCAGAGGCGGCGCCAGGGGGTCCCAGGCACAGATCCAACAAAACCGCTCGGACCTCAGAGCATGTAAGTTTACATGGTGTGTTTTTGAAGGCCGGCCGTATACACACTAAGGTATCTGGGCCCTGTCTCATGGGGCTTCGTAGGAGCGCCACAAGATAACGCAACTATAATGCACGAGTTTCCAGCTGGTCTTCCGGGCGAAAGGTGTTGGAACAAATTAGGTATGTCTGGGCCGCCATTTGCCACAAAGTGGTGGGCAAACATCACACACTATTGAAGAGGCCCTGGGACACACAAATAAATACACACAAATAACAGGATTCCCCATATATTCTTATATTTTCTGGGTTATTGTCTTCCCCCCACTTTCCATATTTCCCAAAATTTTCCAGGGAGTCGACGATTAATTGTGTCTGGACGTGCTCCTGGCCCCGACTTTCTTCCTCTGAGCGCAGGCGGAGACCGAGCGGAGGCTCTGGAGGGGAACGTAGATGAAAGACCCCCCCCGGGGCCTCAAGGATGCGAGCCGGGGCTTTATCCATATCCACCGCCTGGGAACCGACGTCCTAGTGCCCTAACGGGCGATGGATATGGATACATTTCGGCCCTTGGGGGCCCGAATCTGTCCATATCCACCGCCTGCCGAGGCTCCGAAAACTGACCCTCCAGGCGGTGGTCCTGTATAAATTCCCGCCTCGGAAAGGATGGCCCCAACAGGCCCTCCAGGGCTCCCAGGAGGCCCCAACGAAGTGCGCAAGGCGCCAGCACCCTCCAAACGAGCCTCCAGTGCGCCGCAAGAGGGCGCTGGGAGAGCCCCAAGAGGACCCCGGGAGGGTCTCAAGAAGGTCAGCTCTTATCGGCAGCGTTTCTGGATGGGCTGGTGGGGATATTAGCGGCTTCTTAGATGGGGTCGGAGTAGATGGGGTCGGAGGATCGCGCCGCATCGTCGATGCATCGGCAATGTATCGGCGATGTATCGGCGATGCAATGGCGATGCATCGTCGACGTCGCCGATGTATCGGCGACGTCGACGTGAAGCACACCGGGCGGCACATCGAGCCGCATCGGCGCTGCATCGGCGCTGCATCGGCCCCCACCTACTCGGACCCCACCTGGGAGGCCTAGAGATGCGCGGAGCGTGAAGAATATCCGACCAGCCATAACTGGGGGAGCTGTGGTCCTTACCCCCCTGGGGGAACCCATCGCTTCGACGAACTCTCGAGAGGGGTGTCGAAATCGATGGGTCCCCCAGGGGTAAGGACCACAGCTCCCCCTGGTGTGGCTGGCCTGAATATGCATCTCCGTGACGAAAGTTTTTTTCAATTTGCCTTTTGGAATGACGCGCTCGTGCGGAGTAGTTCGGAGTAGTTTTACTAAAACTACTCCGCGCGCAATCGCATCCCGCTCGATAAGTTGTATGGTTTGGCGCGGAGTAGCTTCTGATCCCGTTTTGGGGTAACAGAGTTACCCACGTCTCCGGGATCGGAAACTACTCCGCCGAATGACCCAAGCATCATATCGTGTTGGGAATCTTGCCAGAGACGGGAGAGATCCTCATCATAGCAAAGTGAAGAACCTTTTGTCACGGCTGTGTAGCGGACATCGCCCCTACTCTGGTTTACAGGGCGCTGTGCGCTGAAACTCCTGTGAGCCGACAGGCCAAACCCTGCGTGATGTGCCGCGTCCTGGCGGCTCTAGGCTTTGGGGGTTCTCAGGAGGTCTACAGACCACGCATATGTAACCCAGGGTAGCGTCGTTTTCTCATCCCTCCAGACATGCTCCCATATTTTCCCATATCTTCTTATATTTTCCCATATGTCCCGATAGTTTCTGGTTTTTTGTCTTCCCCTCCCCACTTCCCCTATTTTCCCATATTTTCCCCGGAGTCGACGACTCATGGTGTCTGTGTTTTTTCCCCTCCTGCAAAAGGGGGGTTGAGAATCAGCTCACGTAGCTGATTCTCCCGGCGCCTTCCGGCGCCGGGAGGCGCCCATGGATCGAGGAATGGGCCCGGCGGCGGGGCCGAAACCAGCTGCATGCAACAGATTTCGTAACCCCCCCCTTTCCCAATCCCCCACTTTCGTCCCGCCCGACACTGGGGCTCACCACACGGTGCGGTCACTGAACAGTTTGGGAGCCCCTGCATGGGCGGTGCAGCGGACCTGCCCCCGACCCCCTCCCGGTGCAGGCGGCGACCGCGCAGAGGCGCCGGGCCCCCGCGGCGCCGCAGTAGCGGGCGGGGCCGCGGGACCGGGGCCGCGCGGGAGCGGCCCCGCCCCGGCGAGCGGGCGGGGCGACCAGGAGGGCGGGAGGGGGACGGGGGGAAGGGGGGTGGCGAGGCGGAGGGGGAGGAGTAGGAGGAGAAGGAGGCGGAGGAGGAGGAGGAGGAGGAGGAGGAAGCGGAGGAGGAGGAGGAGGAAGCGGAGGAGGAGGAGGAGGAGGAGGAGCAGGAGGAGGAGGAGGAGGAGAAGAACAAGAAGACCAATTCAGGGATACGAGGTGGAGGAGGAGGAGGAGGAGAAGAGTAAGAAGACAAATCCAGAGATGCGAGCAACATTAAGAGAGTCTTCATCGACAGAAACATTGAAATGTCCGCGCGGACTTGCCCGGTCGGCCCTGGAACCCTCTTGCGGCGCCTCCAGCGCGGCCTCGGGCGCGCCTCTCGCTCGCCAGGGAGGGGGGCGAGCGTCGATCCTAGCTATTCCACGCGGGCCTCCGCAAGGTACTGCTCCTGCGGATCTTGCTTCCCCTCGGAGACGAAGAGGGGATGAGGCGGCGGAAGCAGAGGATCGGGCTGGGCGAAAGGGGGGGATAGCAAAGGGGGGGGGGGTGAGAATCAGCTCACGTAACTGATTTTCCCGGCGCCTCTCGGCGCCGGAGGCGACTATGTATCGAGGAATGGGCCCAGCGGCGGGGCCGAAACCAGCTGCATGCAGCAGATTTCGTAACCCCCCCTTTCCCAATCCCCCCCTTTCGCCCGTCCCGAGAGGAGGTCCGCCAGAAATGCAGACGGCCCACGGGGTATGGTGCGGAGACCCTTTAAGAGGCCTGCGCAAGAGCTCATGCCAGGGGTGGCTGGCAAAGCCTTCGCAACCCATCGGGCCCTCTGTGAGTAGCGAGGTGGGGTCGGCGCGCAGGAAAGACATCAGTTTGGACGCCCGAAATGGGTACGGAAAAAATGGGTACAATGCCCAACAACAAATGTTGTCCCAAGCCAACAGCGGCCGCTGTTGGGCAGGCGACCTTCTGTCTCAAATGGACACGGGCCGCGGCGGCGCGGACGGCGAGTCCTGTTCAGAATGACCAGGAACTGCTATTGAGCATTGTACCCATTCTTTCCGTGCCCATCTCGTTCGTGCAGGACGTCAGATCCTGGTGCCTTGGCGCTGCGGGGAGACGAGCAGGGCGAGAGGCGGAGGAGACGCCGCTCCGCTCGACGGACACGGCGGCCGCTCGCGGGCGGCCAGCTCACGCCGCCTCCTCGAGAGAGAGCAGCGGCCAGCGCGCGCCGCCTGGCCGGGCTGAGCCTCGAGGGGTCGACCCCCTGTGCTGCCTGGCAGAGCGGCGCACGTCCCGCGCGCGCGGGGGGCGCGAGCCTCCTCCGTGCCCGGGCGGGCCCAGCGCGTGCCGGCGTCTGGGAGGGCGGGGCGGAGGACCTAGTCTGCCCCAGCGCCGCCCAGAGGTGCCATCAGGTTGATGTACTCCTGGAAATTGAAATCCGCCGCCCCCACACCACCCCGGTGGCGCGCCAGGCTGTGGAGTCTTCGGCCAGGCCGCTGTCTTGTGCTCTTTGAGTTGCACTTTTTTATGCGTCATCTCTGTAGTACTGTCCCCACTTTGCCGTCTACTGAGTTACTGAGGGAGCCTGGGCCATACAACAAGTCACCACAGGGAGGTCCCTCAAATGCCTGGCCTGTCTAGGTTGCCCCAGAATTCCCCTTGGACGCCACCGCACGGCAGGCCAAGACGGTCCAAGAGGCCTCGCAGACGACCCCAGGAGGCTGCGAAGAGAGCTTCAAAAGCCAAAGACGGCCGAAAATGGTGGCCCCAAGATGCCTCCATGATGCCCCAAGAGGGCCTCCAAAACATTTCCGAGAGAGCAGCAACTATACTTCAATGTTGTTCTTTGCCCGTCCCACGAATTGCTCCCAAAATGTCCAAAGATCGCTTCACGAAGGCCCCCAGAGCTCCGAGATTGTCCAAGACGGCCCCAAATGCCCAAACGGCCCCAAGATGCCACCCAAACCGCACAGGATGGCACAAGATGGCCCCAGCACGCCCTCCAAGCAGGGCCCCCGAGGCAACAGAATGGCCCCGAGATTGCCCAGGATAGCCTGGAGATGGCCCCCCGATGCCCTAACATGGCCCAAGAGGCCCCGTGATGGCCCCTGAAACTGCCCGGATCTAGTCCCAAGATGGCTCAGCCTAGCGTGTGGGCGGCAGAGAGCGAAAAACCCTTTCGATACTCCTCATCTGAGCCTGGCAGCCTTACGAACGAATCCTTGTACTGGAAGATCAGTTCGTTGATCTCCGCGTCGATCATCTCATGGTACATGTGTGTCTTCAGAGCCTCTCTGAGGTCCTTGACCTTTATCAGGCCGTCGGGACTGTTCTTCTGGAACGACGCGAAGGCTCTAGAGATCTCCTCTTGACTGTAATCCAGTTGGATCTGTTCCGTCGTCGAGGAGCAGAATTCCTCAAAATCGATGGTCCCGTCATTGTTTTTGTCGAGGTCCTTGATGATGCCGTTCAGCTCGGAACTGCTGAGCTTCAAACCCACCGTCTCCAACAACTGCTCGAGATCGTCGGCGGCTATGTTGCCGCTCTCGTCCCACTCCACGAGCTCGGGTTCCCCAGATGAGCCAGTCCGGCACAGCTGCTTGAAGAGGCAGAAGATTTGCCGGAACTCCTCCTTGTCCTTATCCATGAGCTTGCTCTTGGAGGGACGCGATGCGGGTGCCGACGGCTGCGTTTTGTCTACCTGCCTCAAGGCCCTCTCGAACTCCTTGAATCCGACCTTGCCGCTGCAATCCGGGTCCAGCATTGCGACCAGAGCCGAGAACTGGTCTGGCCTGGGCTTCAGCCCGAGGCCTCCGAGCGCGGCGCGGAGCTCTTCGGCAGTCGCCTGGCCGTCGCCACTGGAGCTCGTGGTCCGGAAGAGGTCTGAGCTCCTGATCCTCTCGGGCCGGGCGAAAGGGGGGGATAGCAAAGGGGGGGGTTGAGAATCAGCGCACGCAGCTGTTTTTCCCGGCGCCTCCCGGCGCCGGGAGGCGCCCATGTATCGAGGAATGGGCCTGGGGGCGGGGCCGAAACCAGCCGCATGCAGCAGATTTCGCACCCCCCCCTTTCCCTATTCCCCCCTTTCGCTCGGCCCGGTCCTCTTCTTCTTGAGGAGCTCCGCGATGGCAACCAGCATGCCGTCGGCCGCTTCGCCCATGGCTGCAGTGGCGGTTGCCCGCAAGCGGGGCGCGGAAGGCCGGTGGCGCGAGCAGGCTGCCTGCACCGTGAGCCAACATGGCTACAGGAAAGGGAGGCTCGAGATAAGCTGCGCCCAGGAGGAGGAGGAGGAGGAGGAGGAGGAGGAGGAGGAGGAGGAGGAGGAGGAGGGGGAGGAGGAGGAGGAGGAGGAGGAGGAGGAGCAAGGAGGGATAAGCGGCCTCTGCAAACACAAGGTCTTGACGGTCCTGACCAAGCGGCTGGCATCTTCAGATCGATCCCCATCTCCAGTAGGCTGGGGCTCCTTGGCGCCTTCAGCCTGCCCCGCCAAGTTCTCGAGGAGGCAGTGGATGCTGCGCTAGCCGACGGAGACGGCATCTGTCCCC